GGAAGGAAGGAAGGAAGGAAGGAAGGAAGGAAGGAAGGAAGGGAAAAAGAGAGGGAGGGAGGAAAATAATAGAAAAACAATAGTACAAAGCTGAGTCAATTTGCAAAGAAAAGAGGTGGAATCTTCTTCAGGGGAGAGCTTTGTTGTTGAAAGGTAGAAAGTGTTTTCCATCCTGTCTCAGTATTTTCTTATAGTGACAACTCCAATTCCTTCCAAGTTCTGCAAGCTTTTTAATTATAATAGTTGCAAGTTATATAGCACTTACCATGGAACAGGCCACATGCTGAGCACTTTCTATACATAATGTCATTTTAATTTGCACACAGCATTGAAAGCAAACATTATTATTCCCACTTTCCAGAGCAGGAAATGAAAGTAAGAGGTAAAGTAAGTTACCCAAGGTCGTACAGAGCCCAGGTACTTAACCATCTTGTGAGTGTGTTCATGACTGTGTTTAGGTCAGAAAGGCTGAGGTTGAATCTTTCCTGAAGCCAGCATCAAGACAAAGCCTGAGGCCAGAAACACCCCACCATAATTTGATGGTCAAGAGCATCATCAGCCCTGGCCAGGTAAGTTCAGTTAGAGTGTCAGTCATCCCAATATGCCAAGATTGCAGATTAGATTCCCAGTGCAAATGTGAGAATCTACTAATGAATGCATAAATAAGTGGTACAACGAATCTCTCTCTCTCTCTCTCTCTCTCTCTCTCTCTCTCTCTCTCTCTCTCTCTCCTCTGTATTTCTCTCTAATTCATACAAAATACAGAGCATCATCACTTGAGAAGCAGAGATGCTGGTACTTACAATGGAGATGTGGTGCTCAGAGTTCCATACAGATCTTTCTTCACACTCAGTATGATTGCCACCATGATTGCTGGGATCCCTAGTGCGGGGAAGCAAGCCAAAGGCATTCCATTAGAAAGCAGGGGAAAGATCCTGATCAATGACTCTGTGCACTGATAAGTTAAGCCACTGTTTAAATGAATCACAGATGCACAGGCATCAAAATACCATTGTTTGCAAAATGTTTGTAAATTCTTCTAAGTTAAACATTTCTAGGAGTTCTCCAATCTGTTAAACTAAACAGCATGCCAGTGGCTCCAATAAAACACCCACTGGTTATTAAAAATAGCTCAAGTACCAAAAATCAACTTGGCAATAGAAGTATCTAGTTCTTCGGAATGCAAATTTGCATCAAGCCTTTCTTCTCAGATGATGAGCCGCCAATTTTTTCTTTTGTTCAATACTGCCCCTCATTTCCTGGCATCTTTTTGTCTCAGTTACCTTGGATGAAGGGCACAGGCAATCAGTTGCAGCCTTTAGTATTTTTCTGACAGGGGAGTTGTTTCTAAACTCGTTACCAGTTTGACATTTTGACTAGATCGACCAGTTAAGGACGAGTCAATTCAGCCAGACTATAATAAAGCAATCAGTTCAGTCAAAGTAGTCAAGCTTGATGTGAGTATAGACACAGGGTTTAAAAATTCAATTTCATATACATTTTGCAAAACTTAAATGATTTCTTTACTTCTAACAATGTACTTCTGCTAAACTAATAGCATTATTACACCTGCACATAGTTTAGGAGTTTTGTAAGAAGCTGTTCTAAATTCCAGAGTGCTAAGCATCTTGAGAAATCCTCCATTGTCCTATCCCCGTGGTCGGCAAACTGCGGCTCGCGAGCCACATGCAGCTCTTTGGCCCCTTGAGTGTGGTTCTTCCTAAGCCTTAGGAGTACCCTAATTAAGTTAATAACAATGTACCTACCTATATAGTTTCAGTTTAAAAAATTTGGCTCTCAAAAGAAATTTCAATTGTTGTACTGTTGATATTTGGCTCTGTTGACTAATGAGTTTGCCGACCACTGTCCTATTCTGTGATAAACAGGACAATCCCTTCAGATCTACATTTTTCTCATCTAGCACAATGGCTAGCATGATGTAGATATTTGAAAAAATACCTGTTGGAGACCAGAAGAAGAGGAGGGAGGGAAGTCTTACATTTAGGATGGAAGTTGTGAGGTGGTCCCAAGCTCTGTTTACACTTTAATAATTAAAAAATATATATCCCTATTGATTGTTATTTATTAAATGTGGACAAATCTACTGCCTTGGACAGAGACTTAAAGGAATAAGACATTTTCAACAGGTTGCTTTGGCATTAGAAAGGCAGAACTTCAAACACAAACAGATCCTAATATTCATTTTCCTTAGAGCTGATTGCATTTATCTAATAGTTAAATGCTCTGAAACTCCCTGTAGTGGGACAACTCTGGACTGGCTCCCTGACAACCTTGCAGGTATCCACATAGGCATAGGCTTGAACCACAGCTGATCTGAATTTTGACAGAATGCTTTATGATCCTCCATGAATTTAAGAAGGTAGCAAGCCTATAAGAAGGTGTTCCAAGATCATCTCCTATTTGCCTCCCTATCTTTTCTCAGAGGCTGTCATGAGACAGTTTCTCATTGCCTCCAAATTCTGAGGAGGTGTGGGGCTTTGCACCCTGCCTCCTCAGAACAGAACTGCAGAATAAAATACTGCATACCTTCAGTTTAGAGCTGGCTCCTCAACAACAAGGACTCCTAAAACTCTTGTGACAGCCATCTGTTCCCCTTTTGTTTTGCTGTCATTCTTCATAGTGTGTTAGACAAAGACTTGGGGAGCTGACACCTTTAGCTATTCTTCTTTTCACCACCAATGTAAGTAATAAACTGAATATAAAAGTTGCCTTGGCTTGTGTGTGTACTTAACACTCCCTAAGTTTTTCCTGCCTCCAAAGTACCAAGCCTAGCCTTTCCTGACACTCCAGTACCCCAGGAAGTGGGTGTAGAACCAGAATATCAAATAGATGAAAAGTCAGCCCTGGGAAACACCAACATTTAAGGAGCAAGGGTCTGATGGAGGAACAGTCTGAAGAGGAAGTTTAAAATGAATGATGATGAGGGAGAAGGAAGGCCAGGATTCAGTGCTACTAGTATTTACAGCCCCTTCACAGTTAGCCATATGTGGATTTTCAGCTCTTTGGATTATTTGTGAAGACTCTTCCACAATTTATTCAATCTTCCAGTTGACAGTTGACTAGAGATGAAGGATGTGAGGCATAAATGGGAGAGTATTGACTGTTTTGGGCTCTGTGTTTCTGACGGATTCCAAAGTGCACTAAAACAATTTTTTCGACTACGCTTTGTTTAATATTGCCTTTCTCTACTCCCCACATTAGCATAGATAATAGCACTGACCTTATCCAATTAAAGCTTGTAATATGTTAACTCATTAAAAGGATGAGTAGCTAATTGGGAAGCTATTGTCTTTAGAAAAGCAGTGGAAGATAAAATCTGTCTCCCTGTGTATCCTATGCATTCCACTTAATATACATCTCCTATGTGTCTAACATTTTCTGAATTCACAATCTGTTTTGAATAGCAAAGTGGGGAGGGGGGAAAGGAGCTGAGCTGACCCTGTCAGTTAGAAATACAGTCAAGAAATCCAATGAAATGACATCTAATTTAGGAAAGTTTCATGCTGAGTTTCATTCCTGGCTTCTTCCAGACGGAAGCAGTGATAGTGGCAGTCATGAGGTGTAGTGAGAATCAGGGCATGTCTGACTGAGCACCATTTCACACATTGCAACTCCTTTCCCTGTCCCTTAAGCAATATGGTTAGATCACAGAGGTTAAAAGTCCAAACTATAGAGACAGATGCCCTGGTTCAAATTCCAGTTCTGCCAGTTAGTATGGCTATGTTGAGTTTAGGCAAATTGCCTAATTCCTTTGTGACTCAGTGCCCTAATATATTAAGTGGAAGTAATGATTAGAGATTTTGTAAAGATTAAATGAGTATGTAAAGCACTTAGAACAGTTCTGGCACATGTAAGTGCTGCCTAAATGCTGGCTGTTATAACAGTAAGATTTTGTCGGGATTGTAACTTCCATAAGGGGAAGGATAAAATCAGCTCACTACATAGATCAGCATTTAGCATATACACAAGCAGATGCTCATTAAATATTTGAAGACCGATTCCTCACAATGGAGGTTAAAAGTTGAATTTCTAGATCAATATAGGCAGAAAAAGAGATATATATATATATCCAAATACAAGTGAGACAATCCTTAATTCTTTACCTATGATAATAACAGACTTTGGTCCCAAATAATTTGTCTAATGGAGCCAGAATTAGAAAGACACACAGGCTTAAAACAGAGACATCAAGGACAATGGCAACATACTTACCCCAACCAACTAGGCAAAATTTAAGAATATAATTGGGAATGTATATGTTGAAGACTTTAACTAGAGCAAAATACATGTGCACTGCCTCCAGGCCCATCCATGTCAAGGAAACGAGCAGGAAGTAATGAAGTGCCACTGCTGCTGTGATACAAAGTCCCTCTGTCTGAAATGATGAAGACCAAGAATTGAACAGAAAAACCAGGTTTAGCATCAGTAGTGCGGCACACAAATTGATCAGGATTTTGGAAGGATGGTCTTTTCGAAGTTTGCTAAAAGAAAAAGGACATATTTAGCAAATCAGGGTCTCTGTTTTTAATCAAGTCTTGCTATATCTTATCTGCATAATAAGTGAAAGAATGAAAAATTGCTTATTAAAATTAAAGTACTCATATCACTTCACATGTACTGAATTTTAGAGTTTCCCACCCTCTCTCCAGGTAGAGTCACAGTGACCTTTACTAACAGGAATAATAATAGTCTCTATCAACTAAGCATCCCCTTTTTCTTTTTTTGGGAGGGGGTTCAGAGAAGGAAGGAAGGTGTATCCTGGATATACAATTCTATCATCACTCCATCATACTCAAGGCTGTATCTAAATATAACCAAATAGCAGGATATCTGTGCAAACCATTTCAAGTAGTTACTTGGAGATTTCCAAAGATCCAGACATTTGCCATCATGGAAATATGACCTTAAGTTTCACTAAGTGATTACAATTGTACTTTGTGAAAACTGACCCAGTATTTTCCAAATTAGAAAAATATATATTTTCCTTTCATTCTTTTTTATTTCTATTAAGTATTTACTGATTTAAATTTTGCAATTTTCATTTGGTGTATATGTGGTTTTTAAAATTGAGGTAAATAGTAGAGTACACAAATCTTAAGAATGCAACTCAATGAATCTTTACATATGAATATACCGAAGGAAATGCCACCCAGATCAGGATGTAAAATATTTTAAACATCTCAGAAGGCTCCTCCATTCTTTCCCTCATTAAATATTCCCACTAGAGGTAACCAATATTCTAACTTCTATCCCCATATATTTAGTTTCGCCTGTACTTGGAATTTCATATAAATGGAACCATCTTCTCTTTCTGGCTTTCTTTGCTCAACTCTATGTCAATGAGAATTAGATATTATGTTGCATTGAATCGAAGTAGTTTATTCTTTTTCTTTTTACTGCTGTGAAACATTTCACTTATGAATATACCAGAATTTATTAATCCAGTTACCTATTAATGTACACTGGGGTTTCCCATTTTTGGCCATTATGAATGAAGCTACTTTGAATATTCTTGTATATATACTTTTGTGGACATATGCAATCGTTTCTCTCTAATAGTGAGATTCTCTCTAGTAGCTCCATGTATATTTATCTTTAGTAGGTATTGCCAGAGACTTTTCCTATGTGTCTATGCCATTCTTATATTCCCACCAGCAATGTATGAGTTCTAATTGTTCCATATCCTTGTTGGCTCTTACTATGTTCAACTTTTTAAATGTAAGCCATTCTGGTGGGTGCATCAAAGTGTAAGTGTGGTTTTAATGATCATTTCTGTGATGAATAATAATGTTGAGAAACTTGTCATATGCTTATTAGCTATTTAGGTAAGGACTAGAGCAGGGGTGGGCAAACTTTTTGACTCGAGGGCCACAATGGGTTCTTAAACTGGACCGGAGGGCCGGAACAAAAGCATGGATGGAGTGTTTGTGTGAACTAATATAAATTCAAACTAAACATCATTACATAAAAGGGTACGGTCTTTTTTTTTTTAGTTTTATTCATTTCAAATGGGCCGGATCCGGCCCGCGGGCCGTAGTTTGCCCACGGCTGGACTAGAGCTAGGCATAGATATCTTCTTTTATGGGGTACCTGCTCAAGTCTTTTGCCCATTTTTAAATTGTATTGTATGTCTTTTGCTTTTTGACTTGTAGGAGTTTCTACATATTCTGAATACAAGTCTTTTGTCAAATATATATCTTCTCCCAACCTACAGTTTGCCTTTTCACTATCTTAATGATGTCTTTTGATGAAAGAAGTTTTAATTTTAATGAAGTCCAATTTATCATTTTTTTCTTTTATGATTAGTGTTTTTGTATCCTGTTAGAAAAATCTTTTTCTTATCCCAACCCTCTTGCTTTAAAAAATTCAATTATAAGCCTTGGTTGTTTTCTTTTTTAACATGTCCACCTCGGAGTCTAATGGATCTGACCTATTACTATTGTGATGAATCAGAACATTTTATGAAATTAACCAGGTTAAAATGACAACAGCATTCATCAAACCAAATTAAATTTACTCAGAGCAAGAATGTATCAACTTACTGAAAAGCTATGTATGTCACCATTGCAACTCCTAGGAAAATGGAGGAGATTCCACATCCGGTGTATGTTATAAGTACTAATATCTGCTCATTCACTGCGTCCACTGCAGACCTTGATAAATCCTAGGGAAAGCATTGCATTGTTTTTATACATGTGCCAGAACAAATTTATGGTAAAATGCTTCCAGTGCTCACTAACAGGAGGTTCCCAGGGTCTATATCATCTCTGCTACAACTCTAATAAAACCAAAGTATGTAGATGAATTTATGATAAGACTGCATAGTTTGTTGAATATGTGTAGTGTAATTTGCAGTGTACAGGGCATAAAAAGCCATCAATAGCACTGGAAGAACATTTAATCCTTGATTTTATTTTCATTAACATGTCCCACACTTAAAATGTAACCAAACTAATAGATGTGAATCGGAGACGCAAAGTGAATCATTATCTGAACTAACCATCCCCAAATACTACACAAAACATCAAAAACAAATGTTCCTTTTCCTTAGAACTTAAATAACTTTTCTAAAATTAAGAGACAAAATGGACCTTGGAGATCGCATAATCCAGTAATTTCTTAACCTGAGGATCATAAAAGACCTGAAATGGCATGCAAAATCATTTGAGTATATGAGTGCATTGTTCTGGGAAGAAGGTCAGTAGAATTCATCAGATGGTTACAGAGATTCATGACCAATAAAAGGTTAAGAAGCACTGATCTACTCTGGTAATTCTCAACTGGAAATGATTTTGTCCCTCCTCTAGGGAAATTTAGCAATGTCTGCAGACATTTTGGTTGTCACAACTGGGGAAGATGCTACTGGCATCCAGTGGGTATAGGCCAGGGAGGCTGCTAAATATCTTACAATGCACAGAACTGCCCCCCACAACAAAGAATGATTTGCCCAGAATATCAATAGTGCCAAGGTTAAGAAATCCTGGTCTATGCCAATCTTTCACATTTCAGAAGACAAATCTAAGGTCCAAACAAGTGAAACAAACTGACCAAAATCACATAGGTATTTAGTGACAGAGCAGGCATGTGAGCTCTGGTGTTTTGACTTCTACTGTTATGTTTTAACCAATTTGGAGGGAGCTAAACAAAATTCTTACAAGTCAATAGGTATCAATAGAGCACCTCTTATTTGTTGAATAGATATGGTAAAAATAAATATAAAACAGACTCTCAGCACTCAAGGAGCTTACTATCAATAAAATAAACAACTCATGCATGACACATTCAACTAACAGTATATAACATATAATAAGGTAACTTAAGAGAGCTAAGAAAGTACTTGTGCATGGGTACAGAAGAAAGAACACATTTGAGAGCCATTTTGAAGGAAAACTCAGCAAGTCCTGATGTTAAGGAGGACTGTAGGGAATGAAGGAGATAGAAGATTTAACAATGACGCTGAAGCCTGGATATGTGAATTGACCAGATAACTCTTGTTTGGTTAACTGCTGCAAGTATTTTTTAATTCATCTTTCCTACACTACAATTTGACAAGAATTATTAAAATTAAAAATTTTAATGACCATGCCATTTATCCCAGCAATTATACTTCCATCAATTTATCCTACATAAATATTTACATCAGTGTTTATAGGTAAATGAATAAAAATGGTTGTTGCAGCATTGTTCACAATGGAGGAAACAGTAACAACTAAAATGCCTATCCATATGGGATTGGTTAAATTCACCATGTTAAATTCACACAATGGAATACTATAAAGACACTTAAAAATTGAAATAGATGGATACACATTTTCCTGAAAGGTGTCCTATATATATATTGTTAGGTGGAAAGTAAGTAGTAAAAACAGTATAAATTACTTGACTGGATCTCATTTTATAAAACAAAAACATATATTAATATACACATAGGAAAAGATTCTGAAAGAATATACATGAAGGTATTAAAGGTGGTAATCTCTTGGGAGGGGGATTGTAGGAACCTTTTCTGTAATGTTTTAATTGTGAGGAGCAGGCATTAATTTTATAAGGAAAAAAATAAACACTTATTTTAATCTCTATTTTGGATGAACACAGGTGAGCTTTTTTTCCACTTGACACTTTTCTATAACTTAGTTCACAAATATATTCCTGAACTGTAATCCAATAAAAGTTGTCAAAATTCTATCAAGGCGTGCTTAAGAGACAACTCACCATTAAGACTCCAAAATGGGTGAGGTGGTCACAATGACAGATTGTGTAATTTATATTTGTTTCCTTTACTTTACAGCCTGATGAATTCCATCCACCTAGCCCATCTGCAGGAGACAGAAGGAAATTTCAAAGCAATTTTTGTTTTTCTCAGAAATATTTAAATTTTCATTATATGCACCTTCCAAACATGTCTTATAATTAGTATTGTTTGTTAAGACAGCAACATAGAGGTATAATTGAACACTGAAATTAAATTAAGTCTAGTAAGCTCAATTGATTTTGGGGGGACTGCATAAATGTCATAACTTCTTGGCTCTCACTTTTCCTGTTCCTATACAGATTATGACAGATTCTAATCATGAGCAACAGTCCTGCCACCATGCTAAAACGACAGAATTAAGTGCTGTTCTTTTTCAAGTAGCACAAATAGGAAACATGAAGATCTAGAACTTTCTGAAGGACACAAGTTATGGAATATAGGCTGACACTTGGGCATGCGCTGTGAGACTGGAATAGACATCTGAAATAACCAGTTCAATCCAGAATTCAAATAATCTCATGTTCTTTGTACTCAAGCCAGATCATGGTCTGAAGCCCCGTAAGGCCAATTAAAGCTTCTGGTCTACTTGACACCTGCCTAGTTTCTCACTCCTGAACATATTTAGGATTCTAACACCAACCCTCTAACCTCCATAACCTGTAGATTTTGGGTACTAGATCAGATTTACAGTAGAACCTCCAGGGTAGCACCAGACCAAAGAGGTTATTCTAAGGCAGACAGCTAAATATGATCAACATTTTTCCATCTAGGATAACTCCATAGATTCCAGAGGTTCTTGATCCATGGACAGAGGGGTAGGGGCAAAGGGTGACCTGGAAGAACCAAGGAACTTGCATTAATGAGCAGATAAACTTATTTAGGCTGTGAGGGGCAAAGCTCACCATTTTATAAGACTCTTATCCTGGGAGACTTGGAGGGGACCAGGAAATCACAGAACTATCTCTGTTGTAGGAAAGGAATAGTATTCCCATATCCCAGGGAGTTAAGTGGGAAGAGACTTTCTCTTTTCTCTCAGAATTCCAAGGATACTGTAAAATGACAAGTTCCCAGGCAGAGCTTCCACAGGTGGAAGACTGGTCACATAGCCACTCCTGGCATTCCAGGGGAAATTGATTCTGTCTGGGAATTCTCTGAGATTAGGCAATATCCCTGAAGATTCAAATTGAGATGGCAAGTCTAAGAGGGACCCATTCAGCATCTTATCCCCAACCCATTCTCTTACTGTCCCCAAAGACTCATACCTAGCAAATCAGGAAGGGCCCTTAAAGACCAAGCTGGAAGTCTTATCTCCTCAATGAAAAGATAAAAATATTGGAGCCCCAAGAGATAAATGGACTACCCAAAGACACACAGTAAGGTTAGAAGAGATGAGGAAAAAAAGGGAAAGATTTAGCAGTAGATGTTGCAAATCTCTGTGGGAAACCACAGATAAAGAGCCAGGTGTTCATTCCTCAAATTTCTTTAATCAGCTTGAGGCCAATCTGCTCTGTGTCTTCTAGCTTTCTTCCAACTTTGCTTACCCTTGAGTTGTGTGAATTTCTGATCCCCAAAATAAGTCTCTTATAGAGAATAACATGTTTTTCTAAACCCCCATGTCCTTATTCTATATAATAAAGAGGTAATATGCAAATTGACCAGCACACCCTCACAAGATGGCTGCCCAGGAGGCGGAGTTTTTGACGCTGACTGGCATAGAAACCAACCAATCAGAACCTAATCAGGGTGAACTGCGAAGACAGAACCTAAGGTGGGGGCTGAGGAGGGGTTTTAAGAGAAGCAGCTATTTGGTGTAAGGTGTAAGAAAGTGGTTCAATTTTTTAATGACTGGTTTGGCAGTATAGTGCATATGGCTGGCTATCAGTCCAGATACAGGGATTATGTATTTTTGTCTGCCAAGAGCATCTCCTCCTGATGAAAAAGGCTTACCCCCCCCCATTTAAGCAATCCTATCCTATATAATCTATCTATACTAAAAAAGGGGGGTAATATGCTAATTAGACCTGGTCCACCGGCCATCTTCCAGACTTCCAACTTCCTTCTGGACAAAGCCATGTTATGGGGGCCGAGGCAGAAGCAGTTAGGGGTGATCAGGCCAGCAGGGGAGGGCAGTTGGCGGTGAGGCCAGCAGGGGGTTGGGGGCAATCAGGCCAGCAGGGGAGGGAAGTTGTGAGGGAGATCAGGCCGATAGGAGAGGGCAGTTGGGGGCGAGACCAGGCAGGCAGGCAGAGGCAATTAGGGGCGATCAGGCAGGTAGGTAGGTGAGCGGCTAGGAGCCAGCAGTCCCAGATTGCAAGAGGGATGTCTGACTGCCAGTTTAGGCCTGATCCCTGTGGTCCCCAATTGGAGAGGGTGCAGTCTGGGCTGAGGGATGCCCCCCCACTCTGCACGAATTTCGTGCACCAGGCCACTAGTTGATTATAAAGCTCATATTTGTATTTCGGCCAATCAGAGTTCTCTGTAGGGTCTGATAAGACAGTAGCTTCAGTAAAACTCCCTTGCTTCAACTGCCAAACAGAAAAATGGCCAGGGGCAAAGTCTCACTGAAAGACAAAGTTTTGAAAAATACTTACTGTTCTTCACAAAGTCCCAAAAGGCACAATGAACTTGATCATAATTCTAGAAAAAAGAAAAATCATAGGTAAGCACCTTTCCTTGTGATAGTTACTACACAATAGCAAGTACACACAAGTGTTTTGTTTTTTTCTTACTGTTTTTTCAAATAGTATACACACATAGACCATTTGTGAGTTGGTTTTAAGACTAACCACAGATAACTTGGGATTTACAAGAAAGAAAACAACATGTTATGCATGGTGATCTGGTGTGTGTCCCTTAAAATATTTGATAACATATGAATTTTCCACACTCTCCCCGTGCGAGGCCCAGGAGGAGGCTGTGGATGGACAGTGCAGGTCTGATGTATGGAAGGTGTTCCACATGGAACTTTGGAATTTGGGGCTCAAAGCTGAGATCAAGCCTTATAGGTACAAGGTTGAGCTGCCTCCTTCTTAGGCCTAATGAGCATTCCTGAGGCCTCACCAGCTTCTGCAATCTCTAGGACTGGAGACAATGAGAAACTGGTTACTGGGGCATGCTTGGAGTGCTGTGGACCCAGCCGGAATTGACATCTTACCCAGCTAACATGTTTCATTTGGTATCTGGGTTCTTTTTAATTCCCTTTCCCATTCTTTCTTCTTCCCTTCTAGAATTAAGAGCTGGGAAGAATATGTTGTACCATGTGGTCTTTTAGATTGGGAATGAAGGAAGCTATTAAGACTTCTCACTGGACATACATTAACATCAAAAAATGCAATAGTAGTTCATTATTATACCATGGCTAAATTTGATCATTTAGTAATATATACCTTATGTTTTGCTATATGACTATGGCTTTAAATCTTTGGTGATAATTAATACATATTGTAATGTTCTTCATGGAAATTCAAAGGATAAAGATATTTAAATATTATTTTAAGTTGTTTGCTTCACTCTCAAATACATGGAATTAAATACCATTTAGTGTGATGGGACAACCACAAATCCACATGCTCATAGTCACTCCTCTGCCAATCTGTCACAGTGCTAGAAGTTCACCATTAGTTATCCCTTTAGGCTAAGGCATTATTTCTAGAAATCCCAATTACAATACATCTCAGCTACCTGAAATGGAATAATCTTCATTAAGTTTTAGATCACATCGGTTAACTAGCCAATTATTTTTATTGGGAAAATCATGGAGGGGTTCTGAGGCCTTTTTATTCTGAGATGAAAATGGATGTGTTACCTGGTTTCCTTCAATATGCTGCAGAGTAATAACTACTGGGTCAGCCAAGTTTTGAATGGATATATCTGAAATGCTGGCACTCACAACATATGTGGTTAATGTATTAGTGACGTTATTGATCTATAGATGAAACATAAGGAAGAGGAGTTCAGGTCCTAAATTTCTAATTTTTTGCATTCCAATAATCAATATAGAATTTTGAAGTAATATACATCATTAGGTAGAGAAATATGGAAAATAAAATCACGAGTTAAGAAAGAATTCTTAGAGATTGTGTAGCTCATCTCCTGTCTTCATATAAGGTCTCATTTATACCAAATTAGAACAATTTATTAATCTCCATACACCCAAATATCTACCCAACAAGCATTGTTTTTGTGCCTGCTACTCAATACTGCACAAGCAACAAAATCAAACTATTCCCTACTTTGATAACTTTCTGGACCCCGATATGTCCTAACTTATCCCAGTTCTAACCCTCAACCATCCTTACTTCTCGGGAGCCCCTCCTTATAAGGAACATAAATCCATCATGACTTAGTTATAAGCCACTTCCTATTCTATCCTCACTGGAAATGGAAGTAGATTGATCAACATCTTGCTTGGAACAAGTCTCTGAGGTCATTCATCCCCCCAAGGAGACCAAGAACTCTGAGGCCAGAGCACAGGCATTATGTGTCTTGTTGTCTCCCACATGTAGGTATTTTATCTTGTACCCACAGTGAGTCAGTTACTTTGTTACTGGGTCACTGAAACAATATAAGCATTTTTTCAGTTAAACTGAGGCTTGGGGAGGCTTAAAAACTTGGACAAAATTCATACAGCTAGTGAGCGATAGGGCAGGGCTGCTTAACAAATGTTGGTTTAAAGGAAACAAACTAGAATGTAGTCCTTAAGGTGTGGAGCTTGATAATTAACAAGGCCAAAGTGCTACATGTCAAGGCTTCAGGAAACAAAGCAGCTGAAAACTGCCTCTTCTAGGGCACAAGTGACTGTCTCTTCTAAGGCACAAGTGAAGAGATGAAAGATAGGGCAGATGCAAGACAGGAGGGAGAAGAATCAAATCTTCTGAAGACTTGTCAAGAAAATTTAGAGGAGGTGAGCCCAAATGATGTCCCTTGGGGAGCCTACTGGGCCACTTTCAGAAGATGACAAATCTTCATATTTCTGAGCTCTGCAGCCACTAAGAACTCAGTACTTGTGAGTACAGCCTAGGTCCACTAGGAAGCTACTCATTTCCTGTTTTTGACCAATTCTGTTCCTCTAAAGCCAGCTTAATGGTTCAGGACTCCCTTTACAGTGTAATTGCTTTGGTGTAGCCTGATTTAAAGTTGGATATGGTGCAAAGGGCCTTCGCTAATAGTCAAAAGACCAAGTGTAAGCCCAAATCCTACTGTTCCTTAAAAGTTCTTTTCCCTTTCTGGGACACTGGTGACATGAAGAAAGGTAGACCAGATGACAGCTAACAACCCTCCCAACTTAGTCTGAGACATACAGTTTTCTGCAATAGAAAGACCAAAGGAAGAGAAACACCATGACCCAGAATTTAATTAACCTGTTCTCTGGCTTTGTTTTCCTTACATACAAAATAGTGGCTGTGCAGGTAAAGGAACTAAATCATTTTTCATTCTTTCACCCTAAGCTCTAGGCTCAAGTTTTACCTATTTCACTTCTGAAACTTTATATAGGCTGCTCTCTCTGCCTGAAAAACTCCTCTTTTTCTCACTATCTTTCATCTTCCAGCTCCTACTCAACCTCAGGTCTCAGCTGATACCTCTCTTACACTAGGCATTCTCTGATCTCCCAAACAAGGGTAGGTGCCATCATCTATGCTCACAGTGCCCCTGTGCCATATTGTACTTGCCTAGTGCTTTGTTCCTTTCCCTGAGAACTGCCACTAGTGGAGGAGTGGTGGAGGAGATAAATATTTTCCAAGAGTGGGGTCTTAACAATTTTTAAGGTAATATGTTGTAATCACAGTTAAGATTTTGATAAAAATATATTAGAAGAAGGAATGTGAAAGCAAACCTGTATAATTCAGGACTCAGGTGAAATGGTATTTACTCACTCCCCTACAACCAGTGGCATAGGTCTCACTCTCAGGTTACCCCTTGTTAGAATCTTTATGTCTCTGTTCTCTCCAATTAGACTGCAAGTTCCATAAAGGCAGACACCATATTGCTCATCATTGTATTCCTAGCATCCAGCACCATGCAAGACACATAGTAGGAATTCAATAAGTATTTGCTGTCTGGATAACTAACTGCGTGAATAAATAAATGAACTATGTCACCTCCAGCAGGTCCTTTTCCTATTTGGGTCTCAGTTTCCTCATTGGTAAAATGAGGAGATGAGACATTATGAGTTATAAGGGCCCTTCCGGCTCTGAATTTGATGACAAGCTAGTTCTAATCCTTCTTCATCTGGCACTATGACGTCTGTAGGCTATTTTTGGCAAAGATCTTTAATCCCTTTCGATGGAAGGTGTTAGTGAATATAAAATACTTATTAGGTTTGAAATGTATGCAGAGAAGTTTATCTTTTGTTTTATAACACAAGCACAGCCCTCTGAAGAAACAGAAAATTACCAAAATAATGGCATCTCAGACGATACAGTGAAATTACAAGCCTACCAACATGGTCAGAGTGCTTACGAATCACATTCTTAATTTTTATTAGCTGTCTTGTTCTGTATCCAGCTTAATTTTTGCTATTTAAAAAGGTATAATAGCCTAGCCAGAGTGGCTCAGTTGGTTGAGCATTGTCCTGTGCATCAAAAGGTTGTCAGTTCAATTCCCAATCAAGGCACATACCTAGGTTGTAGGTTCAATTCCCAGTCAGGTCACGTATGGAAGGTGACTGGTCAATGTTTCTCTCTCACATTGATATTTCTCTCACACATCAATGTTTCTCTCTCTCTCTTTCTTTCTCTATCTCAGGTATGTCCTGAGATGAGGATTTAGAAACTTATAATAAATATATATGCACTGAAAACATGTTGGGTACCTAGCCTTATCCTGGGTACCATAAAAATAAAACATATCTGAGCCATGACATATGCCACAGCCTACTTGAAAAATTAGGCAGAAGTATAAAACAAGAATACAAGCAGGAGGAGGAGAGCAGAGGCTCACATACTTCAAGCAGATTTACTGAGTGGGATTTGAGCTAAGCCCACAGGAATAAATAGATTTTAGATAGATAGGGGACAGGCTAAAGAATTACAGTAGAACAGAACATCTGACAGACATAGCTGGAAACAGTGTAGTATATTTAAGTTGGTATGTGGTATATTTAAGTTGGCCCAGAACAACCTTCCCCAAAATAATTCTGTGACTATTTGACCATTAGAAATTCATTCCTCTGAATAGCCTCTTTAGAAAATGCAAGCACACCTGGGCAAGTTAACGTACTGACCTATTATATACTTGAGCTTTGGAGTCAGATAGCCTGTGTTTGATTCCTAGCTTTGCCACTTCCTAGTTGTGTTATCTTGGGCAAAATTACTTAACCTCTTTGTCTTAGTCTGTTCAGGCTGCTATAACAAATTACCACAGACTGAGTAGCTTATAAGCAACAGAAACCTATTTCTCACAGTTCTGGAGGCTAGAAGTCTAAGAGCAGGGTGCCCATATGGTCTGGTTCTGGTGAAAGCCCACTCTCTGGTTGAGAGATGGCACCTTGCTGTGTCCTCACCTGGTGAAAGAGGCGAGGGAGCTCTCTAAGGCCTATTTTATAAGAGCCCTGATCCCATTTATGAGTGCTTCATTCTCAGAATCTAATCATCTCCCAAAGTACCTCCTTGCTAATACCATCCCCTTGGGGGTTAGGATTTCAGCACAATAATTTTGGGAGGATACAAACATTCAGACCACAGCATTCTTTGAGTCTCAGTTTCTTGTGAGAAGTACATGAGATAATAAGTGTAAATATTAACAACTTCACACAAATTTTGATTGCTGTCTTCCCAACAACTAAATGAGACAGAGCAGGCTGAAGGAATGGGATTTTTAGTAGGCAGAGCCCCAATATAGGAAAATAATAATAGCAATGCAAACATTTACATGGTGCTTATTATGTGCCAGCCAATATTCTAAGTACTATATATATATTAACTCTTTTAATCCTTCAACAGCCAAGTGTGGTACTGACTCTTATCATGTTTTACATAGGAGTAATCTAAGGCACATTGAGGTTGGGTAACTTGTCCAAGGTCACAAAGGAAGATTACAGCATAGCCAGCTTTAAATTCAGCCAGTCTGGTCCCAGAGTCTAAGCTCTTAACCACCACATTATATTGCCTCTCTGTTTCAATAATGGGTGAGGACTGGATCCATCAGAGAAGGTGCTGTGGAGGCAGTGAGAAAGAATAACAAATTCCTGCAAGCAATTGTTCTGTTGGACACCACTCAGTTTCAAATAAATTGGCCTGTGAGAGTGGGCATGTTGGCTTGGAGGAGGCCAGGGAGATTTGGGAGGAAAATACTGACAAGCTGAAACAGCATTTCATCAGGAGAACTTGCTGTTCTTTTCTGGCTTAGAAACATCTTGAGGACTCTGTTTGGTCACCAGATCATCCTTAAGGTCCCTTCTAAAGCTGAGAAGCTGTGAAAATTAAAAATTGTGGAATATCATTAAAATAGATGTTGATTCATGTTGTGAGCCAGAGGTTGTGCTGGGAGGCTTGTGGAATAAATCAGAAAGCATAATTCTAAAATAAACAAAACATCATGAAAATAGGAAGAGTTCATAATTACTATGAGTCACCACATGTCAGTCCATGATAATTACCAAAGGCAAGAACTTACCTTAAAAAGTGAAGTTTGGCCAAAGAAATTAAATAAGATGGTCTGTAAGTTGCTAAGAGGAATTCTCTCCTTCAGTGATTTAGGCAAATATATGGAAGCCAAAACCCTCCCCAGAGGGACTTCACTTAGGTAAATCTGCCAAGAAAAGCCAGAAAATAAAAACTAGAGAGTCATCACCCATGAGCTTGAAGTCCTCTCCACCTCCCACTCCAGCCCAGCCTCAGCCCCAGAGTATCACGTGGAGGGCTGAAGGGTGAGAACTGGCTCCACACACTATGCTATCCCTTTTACACACACACACACACACACACACACACACACACACACACTCACAAGGGCAGACATGTGCACAATCAGATGACAGGCTAAGACATGACCAGGTGCACATAGACATAGACACACACAGTACCCTTTTCTTTCTAAACCTATCTTTGAGTTTGAGTTTCTTTCCCTTTGATCTTCTTCCACCTGGGTATTTATAGAGGTGGAAAGAGGAATGACAAATTGGGTGATTTGATTCTGATTCTCATAAATAAAGGCCAGTCTTCTTCCATATAGTTCTAAGTGGGAGGGGACAGAAAAAAACAACAACAGTACAATAGCATTAGGTACTTGCCCCATAGTTTACTCAGCAATGCTTTTGTTAATAATTGAGGCAAGAAAGTGAGGTGTTTGGCCTTAAGAATTCTTCTAGAGCAGGGGTCCTCAAACTTTTTAAAGTTCACTGTCCCTCAGACCGCTGGAGGGCCGGACTATAGTTTACAAAAAACTATGAACAAATTCCTATGCACACTGCACATATCTTATTTTGAAGTAAAAAAACAAAACGGGAACAAATACAATATTTGTATTTGCATGTGGCCCGTGGGCCGTAGTTTGAGGACCCCTGTTCTAGAGGCTCACTATCAGAATAATTTGCTGATTTGACTGGTAATAATATTTGATAAGTACTAGAATATTTTTGACAGTGAAGGGGGCTTTACCAATAATTACATTAGGACCACAGTTGTAAACCTGGACTCTTCCAGACAAAACAAAGTATATAGGCACTATTATATGTATTCTCTCATTTAATCCCCCTTTCAACTCTGAAAGTATGTTGTCTATGCTATCAGGAAATGGGGGCTCAGAGAGGTTAAGTGACTTGTCTAAGGTCACATAGTTGGGATGTAATTTTACAAAGATACATGTGATTTTGTCCCACATTTCCCCTACTATCCATACTGCCAAGGAACTGTTATGTAGCTGGGTGCATCATGGAGAGATGAAAGTTTATAATTGTTCTAAGAATGATTTGTAACCCCAAAAGCCATATAGCTCTTGTCCTGGCACAAACGAACTCTGCTATGGCAATCAAGTACTATGGAGAGGCTATACTTTAACTTCAATATGTAAGCCAAACCGGCTGCTGCCAGGGTCCAGCCCCAGTGGTCCAGGGGTTCCCAAAGGTGTGGACGAAGTCAGCGAAGAATGAAGGACACAGAGACAGCGTTCAGATGATCAGCATAGCCAGGTTCTCTTTTATTGTCCTGTTACAGCTGTATTTATACCATTTGATCCTATAAGCATGCCTCTATAGTTACATCATCATATGTTTTGGGTCCTCCTTTGACCTTCTACAGTTCCTTGTTTTATGTTTATAGTTTCTTATCTGACCTTTGATAAAAATCTTATCTCTATCTAGCTCTGTTGATTTTAATCTTGTCTAGGTTAGTCTCTGTGTTCCATTATAAGGGCTAGTTTGTTGTCTCTATTCCAAGGTCATTATCCTATTGTTCTACTGTTAAGCTATAAGGAAATAACTGAAGGAAATTTTCCTATTCTATGACCTAAGTAAGGATTATGTAGCTTAAGTGTGATTGTTCGTAGTTAAGGTGATTAACTACCTGCCTGGCACTTAGTTAAGGAGTTTTACTGATTTATTCCCTTCCCTAGCCCCGTTAATCCCTAATTCCAGGGAAACATCCCCACCTGGGGAAACAACCTTTCTCGAGGAGGTGGCTCTGATTATAACATATAGCGCCAAAAAGGGGGAGCAAACATATTAAGAACAGTATGCCATATATGCCAGGTCCCTTGAAACATATGCTGTGCAGATGTTTCTTCCCTGCAGCGACTGTGTCAAGCAGCAAGGATGGACTGGCTTCCAGCAGGCCGCGAGTTTGACATGCTTGATGTAAGCAGTTTGCATGCATATAAGCATAACCAATGGACACAGACACCAGGGGTGTGAGGGCATGAGTGGGGTGGGGGTGGGTAAGGCGGAATAAGGACATATATGTAATACCTTAATAAAGAAAATTTTAAAAAATGTGAACAGGATTGGTTTGTTTGTTTCTCCATCAAGGTCTATAATAGGATACTCCATGTAACCAAAACACAATGGAAAATCAACAACTGCTTCTAGTATGGCTGAATAGCTCCTAATGGACTTGACCCTCCTGTATATAACAACTATAGAAAATACCCATGACTTGAAGACACTGAAAAATGACAAAAAGCAAGCAGATTCTGGAGAACAGTAGACATTTGGAAAATGGTAACATCACAAGTTGAGCTAACAGTTTTTATAACCTTTACCTGATGGCAGTCTAAAACTAATACTATGAAAGATGCTCAAAATTCTGGTAGAAAATCTGCAGTCTTTCTGACATGAAGAACCATAAAAAGGTCTAGACAACAACAGCCACTGGAAGGTCAGTGACAAATCCCAAAGAACAGAGAGCTAGATGGGGGTGGGGGGGACCAAAATTCTGAGTATAAAGTCTGCCTGACTTCTGAACCACATATGTACAAAACAGACTCCAAGTAAAAGATGACTGAGATTTGAGCTGCCACCCAAGCGATAGAATCTACAGTTTGATTCCAACCAAGTTAGTTGGTATAACAAAAATCAATAGTCTTTAGAGGAATATAGTAGAATACAGAGTTTCCACAACATAACACTCACAATATGCAAGACATAATCCAATATTACTCAATATATGAAAGAAAAACAAATGTGATACATTTTCAGTGAAAATAATATCAACGGAGATTAATTTTGAGATGACTCAGATGTTAGAAATAGCAGACAAGAATTTTAAACTATGTATAACTACTATAACTATGCTCAGGTATTTAAAATAAAATATGCTTGCAATTATCGCAAAAAGAGGAAGAAACAGCATGGAAACAAGCAAAAATCACACAACAAAATGGAAATTCCAGAACTGAAAATACAGTATTGAAAATTTTTAAATTGCACAGGAAGGGTTCAGTAGTAACATGAAGATGACAGAGGTCAATGAACATGAAGATAAACCAATAGAATTATGTGATCAGAAGAATAGATAGCAAAATGATTAAAAACATGAACAGAGTCTCAGGGACCTTTGAGCCAGCATAAAAAATTCTTATGTACATTTATTCAGAGTCCCAAGAGGAAAGGAGAGAGAGAATAGTGAAGAAATAGCTTAATATTTACACAAGTATTTGATTTTTTAAAAGATGCTAAAGCAAGACACTGGGAAATAAAAGTCTTCAATAAATGGTGCTGAAATTAATAGATATTAATACTGAACAAAATGAACTCCAAACCATGCACCATACCATACACGAAATATAATTCAATTAATTTGAATTATAGTCCTAAACATAAAAGCTAAAACCATAGATCTTTTAAAGAAAAGTATAGGAGAATATTTTCATGACCAGCTGGTAGGCAAAGATTTCTTAGACAAATCATCTATTGTTATTCATAAAAGAAAAGACACACATCAAAATTAAAACTTATGTTCATCAAAAGACATCACTGAGGAAATAAACAGAGAAGCCAAAGATAAAATATTTTCAAAATATATATCTGATAAATGGCTCTTATCTAGAATATGTAAAAAAAACACTTATAACTCAATAATAATATAACCCAAGTTAAAAATGGGCAAATTTTTTTTTATTGTTGACAGAATTATATATGTTCCCCATTTCCCCCTCTCTGCCTACCTACACCCAACCTCCACTTCATCCCAGGCCTTCACCACAATATTGTCTGTGTCAATGGGTTATGGGCAAAATATTTTAAGAGATACTTCACCAAAAATGATATACAAATGGCCAATACAAACATGAAAATTCACTCCACATCATTGCCCTCTTTAGAAAATAGTATTACAAATTCAAAAATACATATTATGAACCAGAAATTCCATTTCTAGGTATTTATTCAAAATATATGAAAAACATGTCCACACAAAGACTTTTACATAAATGTTCAATACAGCATTACTCACAATAGCCAAAACTGGAAACAATCCAAAATGGCCGTCAACAGAACAGACCATCTGTGGTATATCCATACAATGGAATATTATTCAGCAATAAAAGGAATAAATTTCAGAAGCAAAAAATTGAATCTCAACAACAAAAATCATTATGCTACATGAAAGAAGCCTTATACATGACAATACATATTAATTGTAATAAATATGCACAGTGCCAGGTGGGTACTTGAAATATGGGAGGGAACTTTGTAAAGTATATGATTGTCTAACCACCATGCCATACACATGAAACTAATACAAAATCATATTGAATATGAATTGTAATTGAAAAATAAATTTTTTAAAAGAGTGGAAAAATCCCCCCCAAACAGTACATAGTATATGATTCCATTTATCTAAAGTTCTAGAACCGGCAAATCTATAGTGGAAAAATATCAGGATAGTGGTTACTAATGGAGGTAGTAGTTTCAGGGATTAACTGGAAAGAGGCATGAAGGGACTTTTAGGAGTGATGGTAATGTTTTATATCATGACTAGTGGCCCGGTGCACGAAATTCATGCACATTGAAAGGGAATTAATTAGAGGAAATATTTTAATATTGCTATTTGCCCTTTCTCTATAATAAAAGTGTGAGAGATAAAAGGAAATGAGTACAATGTATATGAAAATAATACATAATTTTATTAATAAATAAACAATAATAAAATGATATAACAACAACAAACTCATGATATAAAAACAACATTGATGCAAATAATGACTGATAAAATGATTAAACTTATTCTAATATCTCCCTGTATACCACATTAACAGTAAAAACATTTTCAGAATGCTTGACTAATTTCCCTTGGGATAAAGTATTTACAACTTTAACGTCATACGCTCTTCGAACTCAAGAGAAAGCAACATATAACTGACCATGTGTGAAAACGGGTTCAGGTAGGAATATTCCTACTCTGTCTAGAGTTTGTCCTTGTGATTTATTAATAGTCATTTTACCAATCGGCACATTGTCATTTTCAGATCTAGATTTGAGATAATCCATCAAACCATTATATTTTTCAACTCTCAACTTAGATTGGTTTGCTTTGATGAAATTTATCTTACTGGCCTCCATTTTTTAATATGAATCCACAATAAACTGTTGAGTTAATTTTCCTGTATTTAAAATAGGATTGAACGTGTCTCTCACAGAGAGATGAAATCCATAATACTGCATTTGTGTGACT